CTTCTCTCAAGATCCGTAATACCATCATCATTAATAAGATACTAGGAGAAGAAGCTATTTCGGTAGATGACCTTCTGGGGATTTAAGGAGTATGGTCCTGGAATGAATGCACGTGCTATAGCTTAGAATATCGATCCCTCTTTTTGCCTCGCGCGACTAAGTGAGACCTCCGATGGGTGTCATCTATCAGTTCGTGCTGAATTTTTGCTCCCTTTTTAAGATACATCTGCTAAAACAGCCGCAAGAAAGCAGAGTTAGGGTGATTTCCAATATATCATGGTGCCCCAGAGGATCATTCTTTTCCGTCTTACAGTTCCCAACTGTAGTTATCCACGTTATAGTAACTGGAAATTGCGGTTTCCGTGCAAACGTGTAGGCAAACGTATAATCGGTCATAAATTTTAACGCGTGTCCATAGTGGCCATTACTGTTTTAAACCTGGATGAACAAAGTTGATAATTGAAAAAGAGCACATTGTCAACAACGGCTGCGCACAGAGTTCGCCAACGATCGATAAAATAGAAAATTTTTTATTAAAAATAAACATAGTGCTGACGCGTTAATGAGCCACCTTCTCTAAATATAATTAATCGATTTCGCGGTGGCCGTTCCCATCCGAATCAACGGATAATTTTTAATAAAAATCAGTTTCTTCGAAAAGGTTAACGAAACGCATTGGATTCATTTTATTTAACATAATTTGAGATATTACGTTTTAAATTTAAAAAATTAAAATTCAGTTCTTTTTAAATCACGAGTAATACGTTTTAAATTTAATTTTTTAAATTTGTTCCTGTCAAGACCGAACAAAATGTCTAATTTCTTTTTAACGCCACGGGATTTCGTATGGAATTTTCATAAAATTCAGTTTGCTTCCCGAAAATGATTCGACTAATTTCAGGCGAAACTTGAAGAAATTTTTCCGCGAACGTTTCACCGAACTTTGGCCCAGCTTTCTCGACAAATTCAACAAATATTCTTAATTGCACAGTCTCAGGAACTTCAAAGACAAAGTTCCCGCAGAACGTGCGCCACAGTTTCCGAGAATCCTAATTCTCAGGTAGACACAATAGTCGCGTTCATAGCATTAATTTTATGAGCAAAGTTTCGTAATTTAACGCAAGAGATTGCGGAAAATATGATCGTATCGCGTATATATCCTGGCTATCCGGATCCGTAAAACGTGAGATTGCAACCCGCCGTGATTCATCTAAATAATTATAGCCGTTTGATTCAAGGCAAGGAATGATCGTCTCTCTCGTCCGTGCAACTCTTAATTCTTAAACGAATGGATCGATTTATGGCGCAAAAACAGTGTTAAAAATAGTTATTGGACCTAATTAGGTTACCAATATCTTGGAAACAAGTCAACGTATAATCTCCAGCTATAATTTTATCAATTACATAATATTTTTCTCAATTTTATTCACAATTTAGAGCCATACATTTTAATTTCTTTTTTGACATATATGATCATACCTGAAGTTGCAAATACATCGATCCAAACCTACGAATTCATTGTCGAAACATGAATGAACATACGTACGCCTACGTAAAAAACAGGGCCACGCGTGCAGGCGGTAAACAAAAGAAAAAATTCCGTACTTATGACGCGTGAAGAAATGCTGACTTTGCGTCTGTCGATCACTTCTGCTCCGCAGAACACGTCCCGGAGCGTGGACACTACAACCCCCCTAAAGAGGGATGTTCTCGACGCGCGGTTAAAGGGTACGTTTCCATCTACGCTCCAATCGTGCGTGCGTAAAGCTCCAGACTACGTTAGATTTATGTTCGTCTTGGGATTCTGATTAGCCTGGGGTGGCTTTGATTCGCTATTGAGACAGGTCTATGCTAGGCCTAGGTCAGATCCATGCCTGTTGTAGTCCTAATCAAGAGTATAGTATGCTATTTGAGCTCAGTTTTTGCCCCACTATTATTAAATTTGAGGAATAGGAATGTGAAGCACTTCAGTATATAGAGCACTACTAGTTGAGTGCTGCTATATAAAGTACTACTAGTTGAGTACTGCTATATAGAGTACTACTAGTTGAGTGCTGCTATATAAAGTACTACTAGTTGAGTGCTGCTATATAAAGTACTATTAGCTGAGTGCTGCTATATAAAGTACTATTAGTTGATTATTACTATATAAAGCACCACTAGTTGAGTACTACTACTTGAATACTACAGATATAAAGCATAGAACATGTGGGAGGGTTGTCAATGGAGTACTACTAGTCGAGTACCACAGATACAAGGCATAGAACACGTGGGAGGGCTGTCAATGGTCGCTGACAGACCCCCCACTGAAGCAGACTGGTACAAAAAAGTACTGTTCTTGGGCAGCCATTAGCAGTTAAGTAACAGGTAACATGGTGAATTCGTTCGAGCGTTTTAGCAAGTAGGATTCTGATGATCAAAGTTACCATGGGAAGGCCATTAGACTCCAGAAGCGGTACGTCGTATGATTAGGACGGGTAATGGTTGCTCTGTATGCGGAAGTAGCCTTTGGCGGAGGAACTGTTCTATATTCTCATATGGACCACTTAATAATAATGTGTAAGCCTTTCATTAAGCCGCGGTCGCTGCATGGTGCACCAACACTGCATCTCTGCGACTCGTGCGTTAAGCGCGAATGTCAAGAGGTATTATTAGCATACTAACAGTGGAGGAGATGGCGAGGCGACTTATAATGAGTCACGAAGAACGACTTATAACGAGACAATGATATACTCTCTTTCATAAATACGTGTTTGTTTAGTAAATGAGATCGTGATTACTAAATTTGCTAAGCGTTACGTTTATGACTGCTCGTGATAGATTTGTTAATAAACGTGTTTGAAATCGTGAATACGGGACGAACGAGATGTACAGGATCCGTTGAAATACAGAGACGCGCATTGGCAGGTATTGAAATTCATGGCGCGCGCGCGCGTTCGCATGCAAATTTCGATTCGAATAGCAAAACAATATTTAGCTCAACGATTGCAGTTATAATTACTGCGTCGGAGTTCAGGGTCCAACGATCCATCGTTTTCTTTTGTTCTTATTTTTTGGACGAAGCTAAATTCGAGGGAAATATTTTTCTATTTCCGTTTGACAGTCCAAAATTCAAAATATTTTATTTGCAAAACTTTATATTCGCTTGAACGCTTAATTTATTTTCTTGTTCAATTTTGATAGTAAAATTAAGTTCAGAGATGGTCGAAATTTATTTACAAAAGTTTACTTCCAAAGATTATCAAATTTTTGACGACACTTTTTTGCACTTTTATTTTCTGTAATTTCGAGAAGCGTTGAATATTTTTACTGTTCACTTTATATTCTGCGGGGTAAATATAAACGTGGTCCTTAATGAAATCGTTCCTCGATTCAGCCGATCGCCTTCGTTGTGTTATTTTAGTCAAAAGGTTGGACGAAGCGTCGGTGCATCTGTTCGTGATATATCAAGCTCGGAACAAAATGCGTCTGCGAATCTTCGCGGTATTTTTTGGCGGGAAGCCAGTGAATGCACGCGTTTGCGTTTCGTATCGAGACCGGGAGGCATTCTCGTTAACTCATTGAGACCATGTATCGAGACGAACTCGCGATCAAGGATTTCGAATACCAGGACTCGCGTCGATGATCCTGAAAAACGTCTTCCCTCTCATTTTAAACATTTAAACATGGATATAACAATAAAAAATAATGCACATCCTCAAGTGTGTATATTATTAAAATCGTACATTTTCGTATCTCTATACAAGAAGGGCAAGAATCAAATTTTGATAATTTATTATGATAATGTTTAAACAATTGTATTTTGCAGTATATCGTAACAAAACTATCGCCAAACGATTGGCGAGGTTTCCCCGATAAAAACGAGTACCAACACGACCATAGTCAGACCATTTTTGAGTACACGTGTGTTTCAAATTTTTCAAAATTCTCAGTTTTTTTTTTAAATTTTGAAGCAGTAGTTAGCTCGCATTTTCGATGAAAAATCAATATTGCAGACGTGTGTTTTGTCAGAGTGCCGATGAAAATCTCTGACGAACGAGGAATATTATGGATTTATAGAATGCACGGTGCACGGGCAACTTGTATATATATTTCACGATAAAATGTGGATCAGTTGTTCCGATTTCGTTATTTATTATTGTCGTCGCGCAATGGATTAGTTTAATATTCCCGTGTATTATCGTCGCTGCAGCAATGTTACAATAATTACAATTGTTCGAATTTCAGTCCCGTTCGCGTTTTATCGCGAAACGCGGATATAAGTGAAAATAAAACGTATCGAGTGAACTCGAGAGCCAAATCCGACAATGCGCGCGTTTCAATTCGAAATAAACAAACAAATATTTGCTTGGACGGTTTACGAGTGAATACCGTACGAAACAACGATATGCAGCCCCGTCTATTTGCACGGTTTACGATTTATAGCGAACCAAGGAAAACTAAAAATTAACACCCATTGTTCGATATTACCGTAGGACAGTCTAACAACAGTTTTAGAAATATCAAAAGGGTAACTCTAACGTGAGAAAAATAAACTCAAATAAGCTCAATTCCACCAAAATGAAGTCATTTTTGGGAACTTTTTGCAAGAGGATTTCCCCCCCAAAAAGGAGTAGAAAAGAAAACAATTATATAAATATTCAGTTGGAATTTATGGTCAAATGTTAAACGTTAAACTCAAAAGCCAATATTGTTCATAAACCACATAGAACACCGATCGATTATGCCATACTAGGCACCCAGCTTTCTAGGAAACAGTTTATTACATAAATACATCAATTACTATTATTATAAATTAATTATTGCTCACCGGTACAAAGCTCGATACGTACTCGGAGCCTTTGAAACTGTATTAGCGGGGGAATGGAATTTTTATCTCCCAAATTGTTCAACCGATCGATACCGTGGATGTGGAAGTAAGCCTCCTCCGGAACCAAGGCGGCAGAAACCAAGTCCCGTCGATGGAAAGCTCAATTATTCATTGAATCCACAAGTAGACATCAAGTCTCTTCAATGTCCCTGTTAAATTCGATGCCAAAGTCCTCCTGGATCTCGGTTAGGCTCTTCCCGCCGGTGTCCTTTGCAACTATGGCGCAGAATAGAGACACGAGCCAGCAGATGCCAGCGGTGAGCCACATGGCCTTCGTGCTGCCAAGGGAAATGATCATTTCTTCGAATGTCAAGGTGGACATCAACGCGACCAGCCAACCCAACGCCACCGCGACAGCTCCCGCGGAAACCTTAACTTCTAACGGAAGCACATCGCCCAGAAGGGACCAGGAGATGGGACCCAAGCCAAGATTGAACGCAGCGAAGAAGAGGGTGACCCAGGTTGGTGACATCCAGAAATAGATGTCGTCGTACTCCGGATCCGTGTCTCGTAAACTGAAGAACCAGCCTGAAAGTGGGTCAGAACTGTTGCTGTTATGGTGTACGCTATAGCGATACGCTGGGCCTTAAGTCTATAACTTGTCAATGATGTGAAGACTTGGACATTAGTACATCCTCAAAATGAGGACTTGGACATCCCTAATATGGAATAGGATCTTGAGTTTATATCCTGTCAAGTTTATAACTTATTGAGAAATTGTGGACTTGGACAATCTTCACATACATGTCGACTCTTACATACTACTATAGATCCTCATATTGGGATTGATATTTATAATCTGTTGAGGAAGATTTAAGTTTGGTCAACCTTCATATATTAAGATTTATGTTTATAATCTTCGAAGAGTCGAATATCATATACTGAGACTTGGACAACTGGATTCTAGATTTATAATTTGTTTGGAAATGATACGATATAATATATAGAGTAAAATTATTTAACAGTTCGACGTTTGGGGAGGAACAACGTGGAACGCCACAAGTGTTACGTTCAGCCTTGAAATTGAAATTCATCTTCCATTTCGAGTTTCCAATAAGCGTTCGATTTATTGATTGATACACGGTCTGTTTTGACGTCTCGATACGCGTTACGTAGCATGAGCCGGAAGTATTGCGGAAGAGCTCGTATTTTAAGCTGGATCGATGCCAGGTCTGAATTACGTCTGGATTAGGAGCTGTGTCCAACGAACGAGTCAATTTTTTATCCCCCGAGTAATTTTGTCGGCCATAAATTAACGAAAACATTTAAACGTAATTTACAAATTAAACTGAGAACGGTCGCGGAATGAAATTATTGAAATTTTTGATATAACGTAATGAGCTGTAATTAACAGACGAAATTGATTGCTATTAGAGTATATCAACCGTTCGTACACTGATATCCATTTTTGGATCTCGTAACGAAACATTCATTTCAAGGAAATTACGAATAATTATTAGTAATTAATTTAGTCAAAGCGAGCAGTAGTCATAGAATAATATAGTAGAAGGATTGATAATTGATTCTTTTTAAGCAAGTATATTTCTGAGTGCCTAAATTTATTCCATATTATTTATAAACAACATCCAAGTATAGACATTTGTTGCAACCCAATAGCAGCAATTTTATTCGTACGAGAAATTAAAAAATTTTTGTTGAAATTTTTGTTGAAATTTTGGTTCTGTTTTTTTTTAGAAATGAGTCGTGTTTGGACTCATTTTTGAGGGAAAAGTCACGCCAAATTACTGATAGTACCTTGATAAAGATATAAAGAGAAATACAAAAGATCAAATTTTTTAATTAGAAGGACATTTAATTATCGATACTAAACTCAGTTGTCCCGTTGTGTAAAATCGACGAATATTATAATTGGCGATGGATGGCGAACAGTTTGCCAATCAGTGAGTCTATAGTCCTTAAAACCAGCAAAGTGTAATTGAGGCAGTATAATGATCGTGGATGGAGTCAAAGGTCGAGATTACTTTTAATAATTAAATGGCAAAGCGTCGTGAGTGATATTGATTACATGTGATCAATGAAGGGATGTAAAACTATTTACCTAACAGTATCAGAAACAATCCCATGAGCAGAGTGGATATTGTCAGCAGAACTCGACGACCGAGTACGTCGACGAGAAACGCCGCCAAGAGGGACGCCAATATTTGAACGGCGCCGACGACCAACGTCTGCTCGCTTCCGGTCAGTTCACCAGAACCAATGATGTTGAAGAGCGTCAAAGCGTAGAAGATCATCATATTGACACCGCTAAATTGCTGGCCCAGGGTCACACCGAAACAGGTCACCAGGGATCGAAGAACTCGACGATTCGTTAGCATCTTTAAACTCAGCTGAAATTAAAAAACCGGCATACAACTCGAAAAATTCATGGAGCGTTAGACTACCTCGAGGTTTGATCTAGTTTGACAGGAAGTTTGAGTCCATTTTAGGCACTTTTTGATTTTGAAACTCAGATTTTTGAGTTCGGTGATCATTAAATGCATTTCTACCAAGTTTGACGAAGTTTGAAAGAGTTTGACTGTACTTGAGTCGTGAATATTGTTTACTTATTATGTGTATATTAGTTTTATTACTAATTTCTATTTATTTGGCACTCTATAGAGCAAATATGGAAGGTTTGACACAGTTTAAACGAGTTTGAGTGAACATTTACTCACACAGATCGTGATACCTTTCAAGTTCCAACCTTCCCTATTTAACTTCTAGCAACACTAAATTTTATTTAATTAATTAAGGCACGAACACAGTAAAATCGGGAATAATTTAAACGCGTTTTAGTTGCATCGAACAACTTTAATCCAAGTTAATTTTTTCACTTTTATTTCTCCGTTATTGGATTTTTAACTCTGCCGGAGCTTCATTTAAATAGTTCGGGGGATACAATTCTAGTCGAACCGGTTTTACACTCTCTGGTCTTTTTCTCCAGTCTTTTACTTGGCACATAAAATGTTAAATGTATTTGGTAACATATTTTACAAAGTCGTATTTCCAAAGGACATATTCATGGACGAAACAAATGACAGTGTTTACCTTTTTCGATCGAGTCATGAGAATCAACCGTTTCATTTCGTCGATCTCGTCCTGGATATTGTAACTATCGCCGCGACACCATCTCAAGGACTTTTCTGCATTGATCTGATCGTTCTTCGACAAATAGTAGAGGGGACTTTCTGGTAGCGATTTCGTTGGTACGATCAAGAAGCACGCGATCCCACAAATTGAGCCGTACCTTCGCGAGGAGGAATTGATTTATACAATTCGCTGGTGAATTCAAGGTGCATTTAACCCTTGGCAACAAGAGTTGCAAAAGGTCTGACGAAAAATATCGAATGAAAATTGTAACTATCCCAGGGCAAATAATAAACCGAGCTTGAAATTAAAGTGAAACCGATTCGGTGAAATAACAACACGGTCGCAGTGACTTCTAAAAGGATCAACAGGGAGAGAATCCGCCCAATAGGCTCGCGAATAGTTGAAAATGAATCGACGGGATTTGAAAGCCGCTTCCATTCGGTTTCCGGTCGAAACTCTGCTTTCAGCGGCGTCGATCTGCTCATAGAATTTAATTTGCGCCGTACCTCCACACGGTCTCCTGTTTGCCGATCGCGTGGGCGACGACGAACGCGTACATGACGCCACAGTTGAGGAAAATTTGGAAAAACGCGAGCAGACGTCCGCGGATTCTTTTGTCCGCGATCTCGGCCACGTAACACGGCGTCAGAATGCAAAACATCCCGCCGCACACGCCGCACAATATTCGCCCAATTATGAGATAGACGGTCTGAAATTCGAAACGAAAAAAAACGAGTTTTATCCCGCGTACGACCAATTAGAACGAAAGCATTTCGTCCGGCGTGAATTTCGGATTTCGCATACTTTCATGCCCGAGACGCAAATGAGAATCCATCCAAGAGCGTAGATAGGCATCGTCGCGGACATGATCGTCGGTCTACCGACTCGTCCGACAAGGAACGGTACCAGGATCGCTCCCAAACAAGCCCCAGCGTTCAGGATGCCACCGACCAGTCCAATTTCAGTGCCAGTCGCGTCCATGTGGTTCCTCATCGTCTCACCGGCGCTGGAATTCCAACCGAGCGAGACACCGAGCGCGAAACCGCCGAGAGACGCTGAAATTTCACCAACAAAGACGACCATTAGACTCTCGTTAGGGCTAGGACATCATTTTTCTTTGAAATATTACAATTTCTCTTCATTTGAGCATTTAAATCACCGGTGGTTATATTTCGAGAGTATTTGAGTATTTGATCGTTCGAATACCAGTCGAATACTTGACCATTTGAATACCCGAATTATTATTCAAATTCATGACTATTCGATTGGTATTTGATCGTTCGAATATCAGTCGAATACTTGACCATTTGAATACCCGAATTATTATTCAAATACTTGGCTATTCGATTGGTATTTCATCATTCGAATACCAGTTTAATACTTGACCATTTGAATATTCGAATTATTATTCAAATTCATGACTATTCGATTGGTATTTGATCATTCGAATACCAGTCGAATACTTGACCATTTGAATACCCGAATTATTGTTCAAATATATAACTATTCGATTGGTATTTAATCATTCGAATACCAGTCGAATACTTGACCATTTGAATATCAGAATACTTGACTATTCGATTGGTATTTGAATATTTGAGTATTCGAATACCAGTCGAATTCTTGATTATTTAAAAATTCGAACATTCAAGTACTTGACAATTCGATTAGTATTTGAATACTTGAATGACCATTCGAATACCATGAGTATACGAATGATACTCGTATAGAGCGATATTCGAATTGCAATATTCGTTTACTCTAATATTTAAGGATTATTCCAATATTCGAGTAAAATATTTGAATTTATAGTTTTTGAACAGTCCTAGCCCTACTTCCTATCCTTTTTCCACTGCCTTGAGCTGCATCTCCTTTATTCTGCTAATGATTGGTTTATTAATTGCTTGGTTACGTTCTTAATTTGCCCTCATTAAAACTTTCACGATTCAGAAGATTGCAATAAAAGTATGGAAACAAATGCAATAAAAATATCGAAAGACTTTTTGTAGAAAAAGTAGCGAACAATATAAAAACTTCGGGTGAAGAAATCTTCTCGAGGAACAGCAACGAAAGTGTTGATACTAAAAAGAAGTAGAAAGTATGGAAGTAGAAAGCTGAGTCTTTTAACTTTTCGAAGATAAAATTGTACCTTCTATCTTGTGACTGACTCCTGTTAATTTAGAGACGCATTGGTACAGAATTCATTTCTTCGTTTAATTTGAAATATAACAAACAGAGAAACAAAATCACAAGAAGTAAACAAACAAGGTATATCAAAATATATATTAACACGAATTTAGGCATCCCAACCGACTGTCTAGAAAATTAGAAAAATATTATTTTAAATGGTACAGAAATTAAAATTTATTCTCGCCAGTGTCAGTGAATTGTTCAAGAAGATATTAAATAATTTACAGAAAAAAATCAGATGATATAACTCGTGATAATTTCGATTTAATAAACGTGGGATTCGGTGAACGAGTACTATAATTAATAAAATTTACGTTTGCAAGAGGTTAGCTCACCTATGACAGCTCCGAAATATTGATTCAATCTTCGTATCTCGACCACATTGTCGTTGGTCGATCTCGACGTCATTGTTTATTGTCGCTCATGCTAAGATACCTTTAAATAATTTTGGCCCCGTGACGATGAAAAATCAGTGGACGCGATGGAATCGAACTGCAACTGAACCAGACCCGATCTCGATGTGGCAATATCGACTTCGAATCTCGTAAAGTCGATCGTAGTCGCCGTTTGTTTTGCAAAACAAAACGCCATTATGCGTTTTGACGGGGAACTTTATTAGGCATACAGTCAATTACAAAAAGTTCTTCGAGGAGGTTTCTCTTAGTTTCTTAAATTATTAAACTCAAAGAATATTCGAATAGTATTTGAACATGCAAGTATTCGAATATTCGAATAGCATTCGAACATGCAAGTATTTGAATACTTTAATCAAATAGTCAAGTATTCGAACTAGTATTCGAATAACTAAAGTAATGAATTATTCGAATGTAACTAATTCAATAAGTAATCCAACTCAACTGCGAATATTATTTATTTCCAACAGTCACATTACACTGCATCTGTATTCTACTTATTTCCTGAGCCTTTTAAAAGCTCTCTTTCGAGCTAGATTTTTAACACTATTACTATAGAGTACCGAACACTTTTTTTTGTTGCTTCGAAACGTTATTTTCCAGTAATTGTTTTACGTCGTTCAAATATTTTATAAAATGAATTCCACGTGTTTTTAATTAAATCCGCGACATGTAACTTGGTAAATAATTTTATTTAGGCAATTGTTTCCTGGCACGACAATAAAAGCATTTTAATGTTGCCGGCAGAGTTCGCAGTGATCACAGAGTTTATTATAAAATTGCATTAAAATTAACTGCGTTTACAAGCGCCGGTAAAATTCGTTCTATTTATTTCGGAATTGATCGCGGTCATGTGAGTACGCGAGGTTCATTAAAATTTATTCCGACGTTAAATTTCGCTTCACAATTAATAAATATTCCACTTTGCATCGCCAGGCCGCGCTCTCACAATCGCAGCGGAAAATATGTTATTCGTAATCGATATTCTGTAACTTTCGATCAGTACGTAAAATTATTAATTAAACCGAGGCGATGTGCGAACCGAGTGAAAATAGCTCAAGACTAATTCCCTTGCGCAATAAAATATTATCTTTGCCTTTTTTAAAATTATATTTCCACGTCTCTGTTGAAACATACGCTTTTTCAATTTTACTTACGAATGTAAATATTGCTTGTTATGAAAGTACTAATTAAGAGAGCGTATGTAAAAAAAAAAAAAACACATTTATTAACTGACATAGAATATTGTGGAGTGTATTACACAAAGCTTTATGAATCTTTTTCAAATATATAAAGAGTTATGTTTGACGAGAATGTTATAATACAGGAACAATTGTTAAAATTCTGAATAAATATTCACGAGTGAATCGTGTTTTAATATCGAATAGACAGTAAACATTTAGAATTTGCGTACCGTCTAACGCCGCCATTAATCCCAGTTTAATATTTGAGAATATCGAGTTTACGCGCCGTGTGATCAAGATGGCGGCTAAATTCGAAGTTCTCAAATATTAAACTATAATTGATGGCGTCGTTAGACAGGTTGCAAATAAATAATGCATCGATTAATGGAAGGTTGACGGCGGTGGGCGAAGTTTGCGTCGTTCTCAGGCACGTAACACGTCGCGGAGAGGAAATTATCTTACCGAGTTCAACTTGTTTCTTCGTCTGCATGGGAACGTTCACGCAACAGGAAACATCAGCTTGTCGAGTAATTGGATAACCGATTATACCTTGCTGTGTTTCCATGCACGGGCCTATAGTTTACAAGCAATTAAGTGGGTCGCGCGACACTAAATTCAAAACCTTGATTATGCTCCATTTATCATAGCTGTGCTCTTAACCAGAACCCATCAAGTCCTAGATGCTCCAAGGATTGGCACGCTGGCTGCAAGAGGATTATATTGGCCATCAGGATGGCCAATTATATCGTCAGAGTGCTATCCTACCTTGGTATCAATTGTGATTACTGTACAGACAGATGAAAATCGCTGTCCATGCTTTGATCTAAGCAGTATCAGCCATGTCTAAATTATGGCTGATACTGCCTGTCAAATCTTTTCTATATTCAAGTATTCGAATACAGAATTAAATATTGGAATAGAATTCGAATACTACTCGAATATAGTGAAACTCAAGTATTCGAATACTTGAATACTTGAATACTTGAGTACCAATTACCAAGAAATAGTTAAATATTTTTCGTACATGTTAAGACAGTAAATCCATTAAAATAATTATAAAATATAAATGAGAAAGTAGTTACAGTGAAAACAATTATAAAATAGAACTGTTAACAGCATTAATCAATTGAGCGTAATCAATGTACTACTGTGTATCATAGAGAGTAACTTGTTAAAGATAATGGTTTCTCTTGTACGAAGCGACATGCATAGTAATGTATAGGGTGTCCCGTGAAATTGGGACGAAACATATTTTTAAAACGTTTCGAAATATGGAGATAAAGTACAAAGCAAAATTGAATACTTTCAACAACAAAAAATCCTGTTGGAATTTGCAATAGATTTTTAGATTATCAATAAAAATGTCAAGCATCTCTCAATATGGATCCATCAAAGCAGACTTTGATCGATCGTCTTTCAGATTTTCACCAGGGATTCTTTCCAAATCGACTATTAATCATTGACATTTGGGGAGGATTAAAATGGATTTAATTTGCTTCTTAAACACTTAAATTCTTGGCCTTTAATATGAAAGTGAACTTGTGATTCGAGACTTTTATTCGTTAATATCAAATGAATTTAATATGATCAAAAGATGTCCTGTTCTTTGAGTTTAAATGAACTTGTAGAACTGAAAATTTTCGCAGTTGGGCTTCGCGTATGCAAAAATTTGAACTCTGATAATAGAAAATTGACAAGAGTTCGTTTGAAGCGAATTCTGTTTCAGTGCAGTTTGTAGTTCGCTGAAATTCCCGCGTCTCGAGTCAAGAACAGATTTTGATGCTGGATGGATGCAAGCGCGTAGCTCGTTTGCTTTGGGTCAGAAGCTTTTAAGCTTCTCCGTTTCATCTTCCTCCAGCACCGATCCATCAAATAAAGCCGTGACGACGCAACCAATTTTCGCATCAATGCCACTTCAAGATTCTCGATGCAAGAAGGCAATCTTGAACCGGATGCCAGTAAATCTCTGCTTGCATCGCGCTGCCATACGATCACGCGACACCTGATCCAAAAATAACTCTTTATTACGTGTGATTCCCTTTATTTATTACCCACAAATTTACATTTCCTTATTCTTAACAAATATAACAAACAATTTGGTTCGAGTCTCTATTATAAAATTTCAAGAAACTAAAATACGAAGAAATAATGAAATGTTTTAAATTGTCCATTAAAAACGTACAGCTTCAGTCAGGTTTTACAAAGAGATATAGACATGTTTAAAAATATTTTATAAGATTTTAATGCACATTGCGAAGCATCATAATTATTAAAAAATATGAGAAGCGAAATAACGAAGGTACGCTCCCAAACTTCCATTAAAAATTTACAATTATTTTTCGCCCTACATACTCGACAAAAAAAGTCCATTACAGGTTTGGTGTTTTTGTGAATTTTATAAACTTTAATTGCAAAGCGTCCGAAATATGGAACGTGTTCGCGTTTCGTTGAATGTTGACGACTGTTCAAGCTGAAAGTAAAGGGGATCAATAAATTAATATTCACGACAGACTTCCCGATATTCCTCGTCCCCGCAGGCAAGTCGAATTTATGGTTCATGCATGCATTTAGGGACTTTATTGGCGTTCCATGGCGTCCTGGCGCTCCATGATCGTTCGAGCTCAACATATTATCGGTACAGGTTGCCTCGTGCAGAGACTTTGATGCAAACGAAACAATTTCTCGTATATAAAGGGCTGCTATTTTAAAGCGAACACGAAAATCACTAACGACCAAAAATATAGGCTCAACTACGATTAAAAACATGCATATTTTCAAAAACTCTATTTCCTTTCTTTTATTTGAATAATTACAAATTTTATTCGTATAGAAATTTAAAAAATTTTTTTGAAATTTCGGTCCTGTTTTTTTTCGAAATGATGGGGTCCAAATGTGGTCGTGTTTGGACTCATTTTTTAGGGGAAAGCCACACCAAACTACCGATAGTACAAAGATCAAATTTTTTAATTAGAATCGTTTCGATTTTGAATAGAACGTAGTCCCGTTGTGCAAAACCGACGAATATTATAATTGGCGATGAATGGCGAACAGTTTGCCAATCAGTGAGTCTATAGTCGCCCTTAAAACCAGCAAAATATAACTGGGGCAGTATAATGAACGGTCACATCGTGGATGGTCGTTTCGCGGTTTGTCCATGGTATAGTTTCGCCGACGAGTACGAGTCGATGACAGCTGTCCCTCGCAAATGCGTCGTTATAGTGGCGAATCGCGTGTCGGGCAGTGTAGGTTGACGGATATCCTTTATCAACATCGATGATATTTGCTCTGCTGACAAATGATGCGGGCAATAAAGATAAAACATTGACATCTATTGTGCCTCTTTGCCTTTACTGGGTAATAAAATGAAAGGACACCACACGGGGCAAGGTAGAGAGACAGTCATTGAAATCACGTGACAGGATAGTTAAATCAAGTCACAAGTTAAGTTGCAACTATTCAAATTGAGTCATAAGTCAGTTATAGTAGAACTTAACAGACTGATCAAGTGTTTTCCAATTATTGGGCAACTCTGCTTATGTGCTACGTCTCTGTTGGACAAGATTTCTATGGAATATGATGATTAGTATTGAGAAGAAAGAGTATAGTCCAGGTGCAACTATTGAAGTTGAGTTAGAAGTCAGTTATAGTAGAACTTAACAGACTGATCAAGTGTTTTCCAATTATTGGGCAACTCTGCTTATGTGCTACGTCTCCGTTGGACAAGATTTCTATGGAATATGATGATTAGTATTGAGAAGAAAGAGTATAGTCCAGGTGCAACTATTGAAGTTGAGTCACGAGTCAGTTATAG